ATTTGTAAAGCACTTTGATCAACTTCTGCTGTTTTATTGAAATAAATCACACAGAGCCCGTTGTTGACCCGGTTTCAGTCACTCCGGCTGTTTCCGTAGGGAAGCAAGATGGACGCTGCTCTCAAATGTTGCATACGAATGTTTATTTTAAGAACACATTAATTACGTATCGATATGAAAAATAAAACTTGTGTCAGTTTTGATCCTCACATCAGAATTTTTTTTATTCTGTGTGGAGAAAAATATCTTTGTTTTTGTTGGTTTGAGGTCATTTTTTAAAACCACTGAACAAGACGTTAAAGGATAAATCTGAGAAAACGGCTGAGGACGAATAAACTAATGAAATCAGTAACTACTTTTAACTTTACAAAGAAAACGTTAAACTGTACGAATGAAACGTGAGATGACTTTTGTCCAAATTAAACAAGAAAACCGATTGTGTGACCTGCAGGATGAAAAATATGTCCAACCCAACATCCAGAGCTGTAAACAGGATTTAAACTCATCTCTTAATGGGAGCAAACATAACCACCATAAACGTCTGTGATTTACCGCCTCAGACTGGACTTTGCCTCAGACTGTGTGCAAAAGTTAAAGTGCGTGTAATAAAACATGGCAGAGCCTCCTGATGCACGGAGGAGCGGCAGCTTGGGTGCGAACATCTGGAACCAGGTTCAACAACGACCAGGTGAGGTTTTCCATCAGCATCCATCCTTAAAAAACTACAAACAAATCCACATTTCACGTGTCCAAACAGCTGTAGCTTGTGTAGATTATTGACAAAGATTATTAACATTTAATCCTCAGCATCTCGGTTTGTGTCCTCCAGGTGATTAAAGAAACATTTAAGCAAGTTAAAGCTTACGGTTCGGTTCACAGTTCCTCCTCTTGTTGCACATCTTTTGATCAAACTATTATTAGTTTTTCTTAGACTTTAAATCAAATGCACTAAAATGTGGAATGGTTTACAAACATAATTACAGTGGAAACATTTTTGCATCTTCCCTCCTGATTTTGAGGATCTTTACCCGTTTGTTGCCACAGAATCACGACAGTTTGAACCTTTTGTGATTTTAAAACAAATTGAAAGATTTTCAAGTTCTTCCTCGGGTCTGAGGCTGACTCACGTCTTGTGTCGGAGCGCAGAAACTTAA